CATGAATAGTAACGGGTATGGCATACATATAGGATTATGTATAGTTTTAGGTTAAGCCCAATAAGACAAGATAAGGCCCAAGTAGAAAACATAGGTGGGCCATCCAAGTTTGGGTCGGTTTAGGGTTGGTTTACCAAATTGTGGTGTCGATGTACTTTCAGTCATTTGGACTATGCCGACTGAATTTAGACAATGTATTTCATTATCGCCCGGGGAGGTCGTTTGACAACAATTTGCCTAACATTATATATGTATAAAACATTTTTATTGAAAAATGTGTAATTGAAAATGGAAAAAAAAATGATTCTTTTAAAAAATGTGGCTCGAACAGTGACTATTAATAACTTATTTTCCATTAACTTTTGATTATTTCTAAGATGGATAAATTGCATGCTTCGTCCTCACTCTATATCCCCTAGTTTACGCAAATATAAATTGAAAAATAGAATGCATTAAGCTCGCAAATATTGCATGACCTAAAGAAGTACAAGCAATGATCCTTCTAAGTATTCATAATCCAATTGATAAAATTTTGGATCAAAATTAAGCACGCCATCTAAGTTTAGAAAAAGATATAAAAGTCGAGATCTTGAGATGTAAATGCTGATCAACTAAAGCATAATGAAATATCAGATGTAAAAAGGCCTACCAACCAAATGAGATGTATTTACATCATTAGATTTGACTAAGTTTTACGATAGCTATGACTTTGTGTAACTGTATATCTTTCTTTACTTAGATGTGACACCCATCGAATTTGTGAAGTCTAATATATTGTATACTTTTTTTCCTAGATCGCAGTTTGACCTTCACAATTAGGTTGAGGGGGTGATCCTTGTGGTAGAACCCGTGACGCGAAATTTTTGAAGTGTTATGGGATACTTTGAAATTTTTGCATATGTATTAGATCGGCCTAATATTTTCCCCCGGCTATTTGTAATACCTTAAAATTAATTGAGTCAAAATTGTCAAGCTAAATATATATTTAAAACAAAATGAAAACCAAATCAAAAGAAAAAAAGGGGAACGGTCAGGCGGTGGGTGACCTTTTATATTAATCTAAATTAATTCAACACAATCAATTATATACATACACATAGGGAGAGATAGAGATAGAACGGGGGACAGAAAGAAAGGAAGAGCGGGACAAAGGAAAGTTGGAGGAGGAGGAATAGAAGAAGAAGTAGGCTCGACAAAACTCCTGAACTGAACTGACCGAACTGGACCCAAATTGAACTGAATCAAATCGAGCGGTTCTTTTAAATCAAATACCCCAACGAGCATCTGAATCGAGAACCGACGGATCCGGTTGGGTTCTCGATTCTAGACTGAGAACTGAATAAGAACCGAATATCTCTAATTTTTTTATTTTAAATAAATTAAATTAAATTAAATTATTTTATTTTATTCTAAATAAATTTGCTAACTAATTAATTTAGTTCAAATGAAAATATGATTTTCATATTTCTAATTTCCAGCTCAGGTCCAATTTATCAAATCAAATTTTACCAAAATCTCTTATTATATTGTAGTGTCATTTCTGTCAGGAGAAATCGAATTGAAAGCTCTCTATCTTCCTCTTCCTATGATTTTAACTGGCAAATATATGACAATTCAACAAAGAGATGCGCAAAAGATATTATGGGATTGGACTACGTTATTTTGTAAGAGATAAAATTGAACATGTCATTAGTTGATTAATATAGTGTTGTTGCATATATATATAAATAATAATAATTGTACGAAACCCAGAACCGAAGCAAACCAGACTGAACCAAACACGAACGATTCCATAATTAAATTTGAATCCAACAGCTTATTCATTTTTGTCCAAGACAAATAGATATCCTCGTGTTTCTTTATGTTTTCATGGTGTAAAATTTTATAATTCCGTTTTGATGTTTATATAATGTTATATGTGCATAGAATATCATTCTTCTTGAGACACATATTCCAGCTTGTATATTGGGTATAGCAGCTAGCTTTTCTTTCCCTTTTTAATGCATAATAGAATTTTGTTACTGATGAAATGTAATTATAATTGTAAACAAAAAATGTCATCTACACAATCATCAGATAGAAGAACGTTGAATAACCTGTACTCCGACTCCTTAAGCTCCTTGCTAGCTATTTCTTTTACTGTTAGACCCTCCTCCCTCTTCAAAAAAATTGGCCAGCGAGAGGAGTTAAACTATGAGAGTTTAGGGCAGTTCCATTTTTAGCTATTAATTTTTAAATTGATTTCCTTTTAGTCACTGAATTTTATGGTGAATTTCATCCAGAGTCTTTGGGCTTACTTTAGTGAAATCTTAATTGGGTTAGTATAAATGAATTAATGAATATAGTACAGAACTTGCAATATTTATTCCATTTCACATTTAAATAACTGCAAGAGTTTTGTTTTCATTTACAGATCTGTGTTTTTTTATGCTAACCTTAGGAAGATCTATATTGTGGTTTTTCTTTTTTTAGATATGGATCCAATTCTAGAAAAAGCCGGTGAAACAAATCCATTAGAAGATGACATGTTACAACACGGGATATTGCTCCAATTTTTATCAAATGATAGGTTAGTACTCTTGTGCTTATTTTGATATTGTTGCTTGTAAAAGTTTGAGTGAAGTTCCTATTTCTAGATGCTAATTTGATCCTATTTTTTTGCCTTTTTGTTTATAAGTCGAATTTTAGACATATATGAATGTAATTTAACATTTAACGTTAGTAGTTCTCGTTTAAATTTATATGTTAATGCGTTTTAAATATATTATTATATTATCGATAAGTAAACCGTGGATTAAAATCGAACCAAACCGCAAATAATGGTTTGGTTTGGAAAAATTCCAAACCGCATTAAATGGTTTGAATTAAAAATATACCCCAAATCGCCCAAACCGAACCGTGTTCACCCCTAGTTCTATTTACTAAATACCCGAAAATTCGGCTTCTTTTCTGAGGCCATGTCCAGCCCCTAGAAGTAGGAATTGAATTCTTGTTTCCATTTTTTAATTAGTTAAATAAAGAAAAATTATTTAGAACCGAACCGGACGATATCCAGCTCTAGAAGTAGGAATTGAATTCTTGTTTCCACTTTTTAATTAGTTAAGTAAAGAAAGATTATTAAGTAATATCAATTAAGTATAAAGAAAAAACAATTATAATCGCGTAAAATCAGCCACAGATATACCTTGAAACTAAGCTATAAAAGTGGATGTCTTGGGGGAAAATAATTAAAGTGAGCATCAATTTTATTGAACGAGAAATGAACAAGAATGGTTTGTACATGGGTACTTTTTTTTTTTGATATAAAATATAAAATATCATTTATCATCAAAGTAGCAGACGGATACAAGGAGGAGTTACCTCCAACACAATGCCCTCCACAGAGAGTTTAAGTTATATTTGAATTATAAAATAATA